TTTATTTATTTATTTATTTATTTATTTATTTATTTATTTATTTATTTATTTATTTATTTATTTATTTGTGATATATGTGGCAGACTCTGCTTAACTTGGACACTGGGGGGCCATAAAATTATTTTCTAATGATGCAGTGTTCATTTTGATTTCAGTCAGTATCAAAGAAAATAATTCAAAAGAAGATAATGAATAATTTTATGAAGCATATAGTATTTGCAAAATTAAAAGATTTTATTAAGTTATCCAAAATCTCTCTACTTCTTTATAAGTAGTCAGTCAGCTGTATTTGTCAAACTAAAAGGATAGGACTGTACCTGTGAAAATGACCATATCTTTCTATATATTTCAGCTCCCGCAGCCAGCTCCCCCATGTGGCACCCCCGGGCCCCTATGACCTGTATAGTCCCCTGCAGCTGGGGTACCACCCCCCTCAGTTCATGTATTACCCCAGCCCAGCACAGGGCTTTACACCCATATCAACAGGACCCTCATTAAGGCCAAGTCTATGTGAGTGGTTTTATGGATTCAAAGGGATGATTAAACAATTGTCATAGTTGAGCAAAAAGGTTCATTAGCTTGGTTGTTGGATAAATATGAAAATTCTCAGCTAACGTAAGCTAACGGTACGAAAAATTTTAGGCTTGTGTCTGAGAATTTTCATAATTGTCATAGTTATTATTTACTGTAATTAGTATTAAATGGAGAGAGAGTTGTTTACCTAGTATGTCATACTTCGGGATATTTCTTGAGTGGATGGTTTATAAAAAGTGATTTAGTTGAAAGATCACACAAGTCATGTCTCTTATGTAACATTCATGAATTAAGCATTGATTATATTTATACCAAGACCTGTCTAGGGCTAAAATTGCCTCAACTTGCTGGTGCAGGTTTGTTATTAGTGAACTACAGAGATCTGGAAGGAGGAAGGTTTCTGATAACCACATTTGAGTTTATTTTCAACAAATACTTACCAAGTGCTTGTGATTTTTTTTAAATTGGAAATTGAAAATTGAAAATTATTATTTTTTTTTTATTTTGGCACTTTTTGATCTCAAAACACTTCCAGACTCCTAGTCATAAGCCATTTCTCCTTACTTATTTTTTCTTACAACTCAAAAGTCATGTCTGCATGATGTGTTCATTCCAGACCCCAGCCAGACGCCCAACCTCGCAGCCACCCTACAGGGGGCAGCAGCAGCAGCGGCTCACGGGGTGTCAGTCACTGGGACCCAGGGGCTGAGGGGGGCCCCCACGGGGATGGTGGTGACCGTGGACCCCAGTAGGCACCCCCCTAGTGTACACACTCAGCAGTATACTGCTATTCCTTCAGAAGGTAAGAGTTGGGTTGAAGGTATTAATGGTATATGTTTACCGAGCTTATTTTACATACAATGGAGATGTCATAGTAGTCTGCGTAAAAATACAAAATGTTGAATCTGTTCTTATTGTTAATCTGCTATTTCTTTTTACTCCCTTGCAAATAAAGCCAAAAGGTTATGTTTATAGATAATTAACCAGTCCGAATAGTAGTTCAGTTAAGATGATCTGAAACCTATCTGTAACTTAATTGTCTTCATTTTCTAGTCAGCACCAACACCTCGGATGCTCCCCCGGCAACATCTGGTGTCCAGGCGTTACAGCGGAATTCCAGCACCCCTCAGCCGTCACCAGGGGGCAGCAATAACCCTAACAACCCCAGTGCTTCGCCGCGACCCAGCATTCTGAGAAAACGAACCAATGATGGGTAAGGCAACCAGAGATTTGCTGTTTAAAGACCCTTGTCTTTAACCTGGACTGGTATTGGTCTAAGTGACACCACCAGATTGCACAGGGACACCGTCTAGTCTGAGAATTCAGAATTTCATGTTGTGCAGTCGGTTGGGGTGTGACCCAGTTAGCATACCTCAAAAGATCGTATTGGTAAAGAAGAGTGGTGGTTGTCATCTTGGTAATTTATGTAAAATATATTTTTCATTTCTACTTCCCTGGCATATATTTGTGTATGAAATATGTGACAGGCGCTTTGGTGTGTGTAATCACTCAACAAATTTGCTGCATTAAAAAAAGAAGAAAGAATATCAAAAAAATTTTTCAAGTAACAGCGATCTGAATTAATTTTCATTATTTCATGAAACGTTGTCCTTCCAGGACCATCTTGGTGCGTAAAAACCTGACAGGCCCCCTGGAGGCCAGCGCAGGAAGTCCACAGTCCGCCTCTCTCCCCAGATCTGCTACCAGCTCACCGTGTAAAGCACAGAAGTAAGTGGATGTTTGGGGTTTAATGTAAATTGTTAAACACATTTTGATTTTTGGATGTCTTCTCCATCTTTTAATGCAATTTGTTAAGTTAAGAAACAGTTTTAGGCTGTATTTTGTGTCTTTAACTGAAGCTTGCATCTTAGGTTGTCTAGGGTCGTATCAACCATGGCGTCATAGAAAGCTTTTTGTTGTTATGTGAACTGTGACAGCATTTGAAAGTTTGTCTCTTTGTGGTAAAATGTTACCAAATTTTCACTGAAATAAGAAAGAACATAGTGGCCTTTCCAGTTGCTTATTATGATAAGTCTAAACTTTCTCAACTTCTGTGTGCAGAGAATGTCTTCACCACGTATTTGAAAAAGTATGTCTAAGCTGCTTCCCCTACCAAAAGTAGTCATTCTTCTTACTTCATCGCTATAATGAAATGTTCAATCTTTCAGTGATACAGCTAGTCAAAGTTCCACAGATACTGCCCCCTCCACAGAGAACAACAGCCCTGCCCAGGCCACGGAGATGAAGATTAAAACAGAGCCCTTGGAAGGAGCTCCTATTGAAAATGGTGAGTAAATTAGTTGTGATACAAGCAGGAGTGGTGGAAGATAGAAATCTTTTAATATTTCTCAAAATTGGTTGGGCTCATATGAAGAATTTTTAGTTCCCACATATTAATGATGATCTTGTGATAATGGTATTTGAAATTTGCCATAATTACTCACATGGGAATTTGTTCCTTGTTGCACACAAATGATTCGGATGAACACTATATGTCCATCAGCATTTCCCAAAACTATAAATTTGTAGCGAAATTCCTAAGGATTTCTTTTAATTATTTTTCTTCTGATATTTTGCCTTTGTTGCAAGTTTTTCCTCTTTGTTATTTACAAGTGATCTTGGTTTCAGTTTTTGAAAAGAAATTTAATAGTCTTGTTTCTTGAAATCTGTTACAGGGCTGCTCTCAGTGCCTCAAACAGTGGCCAGTGTTTTACAAAATAACATGGAAGCTTCCCCAAGAAAGAAGCCCAGAAAACAACTCCTGTAAGTGAGAAACTTGATTTAAGGATCTAGCAAAGATTTCCAATAGGTGTATTGTGTACTCTGAGTTTCTGGAGAGGTAACCGTGAGTTTTACCTGTTGGTAAAAATTATAATAAAATTGAACCTTTGATTGATGGAAAAATGAGTGAGTTGGGGGGGGGGGGGTTGTGGAGAAATATCATTACGGTTCTGGATTTTGATAAATCTTGACTTTTATATTTTCATTTATTTATTTTTGTTTTTGAGAAAAAGTTGCATACAAGACATTGAAACTCTTTATTTGTGCATTTTAGTAATATCAATGAAGAACTGAAAGATTCATCAACAGAAGATGAAACGGAGACCAAGCCCCCAGTGAAAGAAGAGAGGGAAACAGAGATAAAGCCTCCAATGCCAAAAGGTGAGGATTCTCTGGTGTTCTTGCTGGGTTATTATAGATCTTGTGTTTGATTAATTAATAAATTGATAGATAAAAAGTTTTATTTATTAAATTTTATTTCTTCACATTACTTCTTTCTACATTCCCTCATCACCATGTCCAATGTAAAATTAATAAATAATATTACAATAAGAATATACAAAACAAAGTTGATGAACAAAAACAACAACCTTACAAACATTTTGAAAACTAAAATGTTTTAAGTTATTCCAAAATAAAATGGATGTAATTAGTGTTAAAATAATACCAAAATGAAACTTATTACAGATTGATTGGAATTTTGTTGAAGTATTAATGTATTTGGATATCTTTTAAAATTTTTCACTGTCTGCCTCTATGCTTTTAGTGCCAAAAGAGATGTGACCACAAATAAGTCCTGAGACTGAAAAAGAATAAATAAGATAACGCCAAATATTTGTTTTCCAGAATACACTGATGAAGAGGGCGTAAGGTGGGTCGCCATGAGGAAGAGAAACACTGTGACTTTAATGAATTCTTACCATTGTACATGGAAGGCCAGGAATAATCATTTTCTAAGAGCCTCTGATGTCAAACCTAAAGGTATAGATTTCAGTAGTAGTAGATTTAGCTAGAAAATAAATAAATAAATAAATAAGTAAAACAAAATATAAACAAAAAATTCAGAATACTCCTTTCTTTTAAACAGCTTAAAAAAGGGGGAAAAACATTTTTCACAAAAAAATGTTTGTTTGTAAAATCTAAACAAAGGTTACTATAATAATTTAATAAGTGGATATAAAACTTGAATTCAGAATATCTTTCATTAAAACATTTCAGAAAGGAAAAAAGGATCGACTTTAAAACACTAGCAAATTTCCATGTCAACCATATGTGTGGCAGTTTGTTTTGTCACAAATTTTCTCTTGAGACCAAACATTTAAAAATTATTTTTGTTCTTGCAAGCCAATTCTTTCAACTTGTTACAAATGTTTCAGACGAGAGGCGTCCCACAGTCAATGAGCTGTCCAACCAGAAAAGTGTGATACAAAAAGCCAACGGGTGGAAACTCTATCATCTGGCAGCACAGCTAGAAGAAATGGTATTTATTGTCATATATTTTATTCATTAAAATGTTCTGCATTCATTTATAAATGCACTTATTCATTTGATGAGTTCTGTAGCTAAGCAAAGTAACTGTCCCAGAACTTTATTGACTGAAAACAGTTAAATTTTACCTGGCAATTTATTTTTCTCTTTTCACAGTCATCCTTATGGCAAAGGTGTCATTCTGCTATTATTAGTATTATTATTATTATTATTATTATTATTATTAATGTCTGTACATATGCCACCCTTGCTGTCTAGTTCTTCTATCTATCATTTGACCCCCTTTTGTATCCCATCTCCACAGATGGACCTGGAGAAGGTGGTCCACAGTAGGATAGCCAGGCTCCAGAAGACGGCCACCGCCAAACCAGATATCCCATTCACGGAGGAGGAGGTGCATAAAATCAAAGAACAATCTCAGGTACATGTTATGTCCAGTGTAACGAAACTTAGGGTCCGCGTTACAGATAGTCCGCCCTCCATTTGGTTAAAATTGTAAGGGGTTAGCTTGACTTAAGTGGGTTAAAATTTAGGGCAAGGCTTATTACTTATACATATGAATGGAATGTGGACTTTCTGTCATGGGGGCTCTCTATCACATTACACCATCTGCAATGTAGGGGTTCATTCGATCTACAAAGGACGATAAAACTCCGCAGGGACTCTTGATGAATGGAATCAGATTAACTCTCAGCTTCTTGACATAGAGTAGAATACAGAAAAGCAGGTGGTTATACAAGTATGGTGGAAACAAGGGGAGGCGTGTTAATCTGGCAATTTGATTGCATTCAGCAAGAGTCCCTGCAGAGTTGGATCGGTCTACATAAGACAAAAGCTTCATTTGGGATGAGCCTTAAGCCACTGTTCCAGGGCTATTGACTTGTAGGTTTGACATTGTACTAGTAAAATGATTAAAATGTTCAGAGTTACTAGTTTTATCAGACTTGTGGAAATCTTAGTTTTTTTATGGATTTTCCAATTTCTTTAGATTTCAACTACAGGCAAAATTTGATTCATAATTGATATTCAAATATTAAGACTTAATATAGATTAAAGTATCCATAAATTTATTTGTTTTGTTTTGTTTTTTATAGGCTAATAAACAGAGAAGTCAGTTATTTATGAACCAGCTGGAAGAAGCGAAGAGCTCCATGTTAAGAATTCTCGATCACAAACCAAGAATTATGGAAATTATTAACAAGCACCACAGTAAAAGACCAGTGAAAAAGAAGGAGAGAACGTAGCCTTAAAGACAGATTCTCAGCCTTAAAATGATAAGAAATTGAATTACATGAAAAAATGTTTGTACGTTTAAAAGATAGATTTTCTAGGTCAGAAAGTTTGTTATTATTATTATTATTTGTGAGAAAACCAGTGGATGATAAAGGGTTCAGAAAAATGGGGAAAGGTAAGGGGGGAATTATTATCAATATGGTTAAAAGGAAAGAAAGAAGGTAGCAAATGCAAAACAGGGGTTACAAATGTTCCCAAGTCAACTGACAAGAGAAATGCTTTATTCAAAAGATGGGCCAATAAATTACATAATGTAAAAATGACCTGGATAGAAATGAATGAAACAAAAAGAAAATTTCTAATTTCTTACATGAAACCATAGGTTACACATTTGTGTTATGTTATTTGTAAATTCTGTATATTTCTAAATGTATATTATTTTACTTTGCACTGTGTGTAATACATTATTTCTATGTAGATATTGTTAATCTTTGCAGGTATGAGTTTGTACTAAATGTGCACATAGTTTTTTATCATTTGGGCTCAAAATCCATCATTTTGACATATTTAAGCCAAAGAGGTCAGAATTTTTTCTTTTGTTCATTTAATTAAATGAACTGATGAATTTTGGCTTAATTCCATATTTCAAAACTTTTGATACAATTTACTATTTGATTGTGAATAACAATTATTTCTTAATTTTACACTGGCAAATTAATTTAGAAAATATTCAGTGGGAATTTGAATTAGTAAATTTACTTTAAATATTTGGGTATTTTATTGTGAAAAATTTTATGGTCAGATCTGTGGTATGTATTTTTATAATGCCTAAGAAACTGACCACAATGTTTCGTCGTGTATGAACCCCATTTTCGTACATTTTCGAAATTTTGGACAACTTTTTTGTCAAAAATGACAATGACCTAAAACATGTTTTATTCTCCCCAAATATTTAAGCAATTGATTTTTTTCTAAACGAAGGATTTGAAGGATTCCCTGACGAATCATCATTCTTGTATTTGTCATTGCTTTTTCCAACGCTGTTTAGTGTATATAAGATACTTGATATCAATTCTGTATTGTAAATGTAAAATAGATTATTTTATAAATACATGATATTAAAAATATGATTTTCTTGCGTTGTTGTTTATAATTGTCTTTTCTCTAGTGCAGGTAACCCCAATGGAATTTTAGTCCAGGGAGTATTTCAGGGGGTAAAATATACCCGACCAAATAAGTTCGAATTCTAAATAATTATAAAATAACCATATTAGCTACGGTGATTTTTAACCAAATATTGATGGACAATGCTCCCGCCATCCATTACTTTTTATATACTGTGAAGATTGCCCAACTACATTACAACTTTTTTGGTCGATTGTAGTTCTTTTCTATTACAGAAACGCAGATTTACATTATAACATTTTAAAAAAGGGACTTGGCGTGAAAAAAAGGACGAACGGCATGTCTTTGTAGTTAAGAAGTGCGAGTTAAAAAATCGTTTGTAATTGATAACTTATCGAAACAATGATGAGAAATTTAAATTTAAAAAAGAAAGTAAGAGGGGACTTGTAAACTGGATTTCTACATGTATAAAAAAAATTAACCAGAATTTCCTTGAAACATACTTGCAACTGTCCGAGGTCTAGTTGAAGATCACACCGCGCCGCACCTGTTCAAATTACCATACGCATTACATAATAAGTGACCTTCGGAACCTGTTATCAGCGCTAAGCAGAGAATAGGAGACTGGAGGGTCAAAACAAGATGGCGGTATCTGGATTGGCTACAGCAATTCTGGCAGTGATAGCCATACCAGTGTTTTATGGCGTTGTTAAGCTAGCGGGGCTCATCATTCGTGCGAGGAGATTTTACAAAATCCTTGCTCCAGTGCCCAGCGAGCCCATGCACTGGTTTTGGGGTCACCTGCATCTGGTAAGTGCCTGTACGGTGTAAAGTGCTTACTAGTATTTGAACTATTTGTATAAAGGGCTGTGTTCAAAAGATAACCGCGGGTAAAGCTAAGAGGAAATACGGCGGTCCCTTGAGTGAAATGTAGTAAAGAAAGAGGCGCAGACAATGCAGATATGTTAGCGAAGAGGCACTATATTGCACTGTGAATATACTCCTTAAGTCGGAAAGTGCACTCCCCCTCTCCCCCCCCCTCCCCAACAAACATACACAAACTTAAGTTGTTCGATCTTGTGTTCAGAAACCGAGGTGCCGCGTAACAAGTACACAGTCCGGCCTTCATTAGTCATACAGATCAGGGTTAGTGCGACGTGAGTGGGTCAAAAATTAATCAAGGTTGGGACTAGTTAGCCGTACAAACACCTGTCACGGGGCCTGACTCTCTCGTGCGTATATAACTAGATGTCACTGGTGGGACAACGTCTGTACTGAGTGTCCGTGTTGTCTGTTATTGTTTTGCACCTGAATAGCTCACAATCTGACCGCTGTACCCTGAGTGTCAGAGCAACGTAAAAGCTAGCTTGCTAAATATACCTTGTGGTGGAGTCGCTTTTACTGGTATTGCTACTATGGGTTATATATGAAATCAAGATCGAGCTGGCAATACCGGAATCTAGAACCTAGGGTAGACCGCTGTGACTACCTTATTAAATTGGATGCTGAAACGTTACCCCTGGGACGGATGTTAAGGTAAGCGTGGCGAGGACAAAGGGGGCACACTTTTGATTCATCGTGGCCGGATCTCAGCTTGGCATGTTGGCTACACATATGCTCGAGATCACTTCGTTCAGCACATTGTATCTGGGGTGATGATAGACAGATCTGGGTCACATACACAATTAACTTCCCTGCTTGTACTTGAATGTGCAGATCGAGGCCTACGTGTGCTTCTGCACGCATGGGAAAAGATAACTGGAGGACCAGTAGAAGAAATGTATACGGTGACATCTATAGTGCCAACGTATGAGAAAAATTACCCTAAAATATACGTCGTATACGCAGGCAAAAGTTAGTGTATATCCGGAGAGATATATCTATGGAATGTTTTGGGCATGTTACAAAAATTCCATACGCTGCTTGTATCTTCATTTTTAAACGCTGGAAAACAGGGTGATTTCACATGCTCAAAGTTGTGCATATAACCCATGTCACATACGATACTCATACATACGTACCTTTGTAAACCCCCCCCCCCCCCACACACACACACATACCCATACAATAATTTCCCGACCCATTTTTACATTGCGAGTGTGCAGATATCACGAAAAACAGCAAAAGTGGACACGTAAAACTTATCTATGAAATTGATCCCCCAAAACCAGTATAATTTGCCGATTAATTTTAGGCTCCCAGACCAGACGAGAGTATGCTTGCTTATCACCGCAAACAAGTCGACCGTTTTCCGAGACTGAAGGTTGGATGGTTGACTTTTTTGTTTCCTAACCTCCATATACGGCATCCTGACTATTTTCCATTAGTCATAAAAGGTCTGATTTTTTTAATCAATAAAACTATTGTTTCAGTGTATAACATTGCCCGGTGCTTATGTAGATGCGACTGGTTTTGCTTTAAGATAATTAACTCTTACTCTACGAAGGCTTATGTCGCTAAATTTCTATTTTAAAACACCTCTTTCACTTAGACTCATATGTGTGTATTTGGACAATTTTACTAACACTGTTTTTGCACGCAAACGAGCCCCTTTCTTGACATAGAGCCATTAACCTCTGGGATGTAAACAAATGTAAATTAGCCTTAACAAGACTGCTTCCGTGCACAGCACTAGCTGTGGCATTGTTTCCCCTTTAATATTTCATTAAATGCTCAAGAATGATACGGTGTGGTCAAAATTTGTAATTTTTAAATTGTCAGCCCTGGATAAATAGATATACAATAGCACATTAACTAATTACTAGCCACTAATTACTTTCTCTGTTGGCCTATCCTCAGAAGGCAAGGTTTCAATGGAGAAACGTCAAGGTCTTGTAATAGAGACAATAACAAATATTAAGAAATTCAAATCTTTTAATTTTCAATTAAAATGTGTAAAAAAAATGAGCATTAGCCATATTCCTGTAAATCAGCTTCTATAGCACTCTTGTTCTCTTATGAGAATGTGTGTGTGTGTGTGTGTGGGGGGGGGGGGTCGCTCAGGCCCTAGTTAAATTCCACTTTACACGTGGTTGATGAGTTTCAGTGTTAATTGAAATTCTTTAACCAGGCACAACGTACAAATCTTAATTGATAAGTAAAGAAGACATGGGAAAAAAACTATAACAAAAATTATTCCTGAAATGCCGGAATGCATCCATCTGTTCGAAGAAGAAAGGGAATACCTTGCATTTTTTCCTGTTGCAGCTTTTACAGATACACTCACATGTCTATTTCTTGACAGTTGCCCGGGCCCAATGAAGAAGGACTGGCATATTATCGCCAGAAAGCAAGGAGATTCCCTGTATGGACGGTTTCCTGGTTGACGCCACTTTTACCGTCCGTGGTCATGAAAGTGCCCCGTATCCTACGCCCTGTACTGAAATCTCAAGGTTAAGAGGAAATATTGTTTTTCCACTAGACATTCACAGATATGTCGATCCATGGTAGAGGGTAGAGAAATACATGTTCCTTTGAGAAATGATGTCCCATATACGCAAGGATTGGCGATTTTTCTCCATAGAAACTAAACATAGAAACGATCGAAAGTTTAGCAATGTTTTGAACATATTTATTTTGGATATATTGTCATCATGGAAAAAATAAAAAAAAAACCGAGTGCTCAATATTTAATTGAATACAATTGTTCTACGGTAAGACACGGTTGTATAAAGTGTTGATACGCTGAACTTTCTTCACTATGTTTATATATAGGCCTATAAAACCCTGTAAGTGATGGGTCTAGATGGTTTGCACATATTACATGTAGACTGCGCAACGAACATACAGGGAAGCTCTTTCACCTACCAATACATGAAAAACTCTTTCTCCCTGGTTCGATATCTGTGGTTGCCACGCCCTTAGCTTCAGTGTCTCGAAACTGTCGTCAAACAGCTAGCCACAGAAAATACTCAGCTACTGCCGTACTGTGGGTGGTGGATTTTACTATCTTGATGGAAAATTGAAGGCTCATTCCCAATGAAACTATCGTTCAACCTAGATCGATCCAACTCGGCTGAATGTAATCATATAAACAGAACAATCCCTACTTCTGGCTTTGCGTACAATTCAGAAAAGCTTGTGTTTATGGCAGTGCGTTGAAAACAAGAGGAGGCGTGTTAATCTGTTAAGCTGATTGCATTCAGTGAGAGTCCCGCACGGAATTGGATCGATCTACGTAGAGCCATAGTTTCATTGGGAACAAAGCCCTTAGTTACCGGGAATGTGTTTGTTTCCCCATTTTCGGACGGAGAAGTCCAATATTTTGATTTAGAAAGTATTCAGTTAGGAGAATTAAATAAGATTATATTTTCTACAGTTTCCAGGAATGAACGAAGCCGGCCTTGCTTACTACCGGAAGCATGGGGCAAAATATCCTCGGATAGAAAAAGGATTTTTAACGCCATTGATCCCTATTGTGGGATTGAAATGTCCAAGCGCATTTCGGGCTATTTTGCAAGGTTTTTTACACAACTTTTCCCAGTTTTGTGAGATAATTAGTGCAATGTTTCCAAAGCATGTCAATGATCCTTCAATCGTTACGGAACAGCAGCTTCTAGCTTAAGGGGTTCGATACGAAAAAAGGGCTACATTTTGGGAAAATAGCCCTTTCCCAGTTTCATTTAAATGAAATACTTATTCTAATATGAGGGCTATAAAATTGAACAGAGTAAAAACGTCTTTTTGTTGTTCAAACCATACAACTCTTTTTGCACACAGCAAGTGTTTATATTCTACGTGCTGCTTATAGTGGCGAGGTTGCAATCTATTTCCGACGTAGCTCTATAAAGTTGTAAACTTTGCCTTTAATTTTTCTTTTTCTTGTCATGAGCCCCTATTTAATATTTTTTGCCTTTATATTGCTAAAACCAAGATGGAAGTTTACAAGAAAATTTCCTGGCACTGACCTGCATTATTCATTGATATGCATGATAATATAAACGCAGAGAACTGACACTGTTTATCTCTGCATTATCTGAACGAATAGCGGAGGAGGATTTTTATGTCGAACCCCTTAAGCTAACTTCCTATGCAAGTGCATGTATAGACAAGTCTTCCTTTACAATCGCCAGTGCAACTAGCCGTAGAATTGCTGGCTATTCAAGTGTTTGCTCAGCATCGCCATGCTGATTGGTTGTGCATCACATTGGGGGAGGGGGGGGAGGGTCCAGCCGAGCTAGGCAGACCTACGTAGCATTTTGACCCGACCCGTCTTCGGTTACGTCACTGGGCACGAAATCACACACAAAAAAATGAAAATTGAAAATAATTCACAAATTTCTTTTTACGACATTAACTCTGGCAAACGCCAATAAAATAAAAGCAGACCCGGTAAAATTTTTATATGTGCTAGTAGGTTTTAACGTTTTTGGCACTGGCTAGCTTTTCGTAATTCAATAAGGATCAAAATGCAATGTAGAAAGTGATTCAGATGCTCTTTTAATTTTCTCAGGTAATGACTTTACAGATAAGTTTACATACATACCCAATATAACTAATATCGGAATTGTAACTATTCTGACTTTGCTCATTATAGATAATGAATATATTAAATATCTTCAGAATAGGTAAAAGATTTGTGTCCTATGGTTTGCAACTACAGGAAGTTTAATAAAATACCAAGATTTCAATTTACAGTTTCCTGGAATGAACGAAGCTGGTCTTTCTTACTACCGAAAACATGCGATCAAATATCCCAGGATAGAAAGGGGAAATATCACACCATTTTTAGCATTTGTTGGACTGAAATCTCCTGATACCTTGAAAGCTATCATAAAAGGTTTAAGTGGCATTCTTTTGATATGTACATTATTTGAGCTCAAGTTTTGGCCACGTTTAGAGTCGTATTCAAATGACTTAACGTATAGATATTCGTGGCACGTTACCAGAAACATCATTTGGACTAATTGTAGTCAGTATAAAGACTGCCCTCTTATATAACATTGCGTTCACAGCTGGTGGTCAAGCTCTCAATTGCAATCAAATTTTAAGTTGAATCACTTTGTCATATACATTCGCCGTAAAAGAAATAGAATTGGTTCGTCATGTGAACGTACGACTCAAAACGGGTTTGAAGCTTAGATAATTACCAAAATCGTAAAACTTGCGTTTGCACCTGCTTTTTTTGCGTGATATAGTTTTGTCTCTGTTGCCAGTGCTTGCCTCAGAAACGGAATGGTTGTTTAATGCGGGAGCGCAATGCCTTTTCATGTATTTGCGTTTGTTTAAGAAAACTTTATTTCATCTAGGCCTTCGTTTTCTAAGGTTTCATTGGGTATTGTTTAGTTATCACCAGGCGACGTCATTTGTACCTAAAAATACCTTCCATTTCCACCCTGTGTGTTCGTAACGGTCGCAGTAACGCTACCATACTTACTACAATAACTATGTATGAATTTGAACTCCCCTGCATGAGCACCAATATTGTATTGCGGATTTTCCCGGTCTTCCTGGCATAACTTTCCGGTTTTGTTAACCACATCGAGCTTTTGTTTTGTTGTTGCTTGTAATTGGCACATTTTCGAATCAAACAGTAAAGGGATAACGACTCTTCATATGAGATTCATGTTTCACATTAAATACATTGTAAACAATTCATAGAAATATAATAAATTCTATTTTACCACCAAAACGGCGATTGGCGCAATTGTTCTGGAATCGGACCACGTGACCTCCATAGAGGATTTCCCTTTGTTAGAATCTTTAAAAAAAACATAGACTAACTTTGAATATTAGAAAGAATTCATTAACCTTTCTTAATTATGAGAAAATTGTCGTTTATGCCAGGAAAATCTTTTTTTTGCCAAAATGAATAGCTGTTATCCTTTGAAATTCTGCCAATTTTTACTTAGCAAGTTTCATAAAGTTGTGGAAGGAGCATCATGCCTTGCTTTTGAAATTATATAATTATTCAATGCTTTGCTTTTTGCTGCTTTGATAGATTTTCGATCTCGGAGAAACCGCTTTCATTCTCATTGTCTTAGAAAATATATTACGCTTAAATCCTACGTGCAGCATTAGATATTTATATCGCCTGTATGCCTTTGTTGTAATCTTTTACAAATAGTAACTTTTTTGTAGCTAACTAACTTACAAAAACTTACAAATTAATCTGGCTATAAAACATGTACAAATACTTCTATTCACTTCCATTATCATTATTTGAAATACACGTTTGTACTTCGAATGAATTTTCAGCAAGTAAATGAAATATTTATGACCATCTTCGTCACATTGAAGCCGTCTTTTATTCAGAGCCCAAACCAAGTTTTTTGGCCTACGAATGGCTTAAAGAGTGGCTCGGAGATGGTTTGCTGATTAGTAAGGGTAAGAAATGGGCCCGGAATCGAAAACTACTGACCCCAGCGTTCCACTTTGACATACTGAGGCCTTATATTCAGGTTTACAATGAAGGTGCTGACAAACTGTTGGTGAGTGGTATTAACTCAATTACCTGAACCCGAGTTGCCAACTCTAAGCATTTACTAGTATTATATTTAATTATTTAGGACATGATTAACTTAGAGATCTTTATCTGTTATTAGTATAAGACGATAGGCAATAAATCTACGTAATTTGAGTATTGTCATGTTGGCAACTCTGTGAAACGTTTAAGTGTTTTAATGACGAGTACTAAACGTACTAAACACGCCTGGATTTATCCCGTTATTTTTGCAGCATAAAATGTCACAATACGCGGAGACCGGAGAGCATTTGGAGTTGTTCAGTAACATCAGTTTGGCAACGCTAGATATACTCCTGTGTTGCGCATTTTCCTATGAAAACGACATCCAAGAGATAGGGTAAGAGTATACAAAAGCTTTCTTCCAGTAAGGGTTGGGTTAACTGGTTCTTTCAGCGTTTTGTTACACTTGTATATATTTCCCTTTTTGTCGAAAAATTTTTCTACACTGTACCGGATATTTCTCTTGATATTCCGTGCACATTTTAACTGTGTCAACTGAAAAGTGTTACAAAAGAAATGACGTCATCAACTAGATGACCTCTGGCAGAGATCGAGCAAAGCAAAGGGATACAATATGAAATGTCCACGTGTGAAACTCTTCTCTGTTCTTGTTTCACCGTCTCAAAAATGTCTATATTTCAGGGAGAGTCACCCGTACGTCCACGCTGTCTCAGAGATGCAGGACGCCATGATGCACAGGGTGCTGTAAGTTGTGGAGTACACTTTCTTTGACACATTTGCTTAATTGGATAAGTTTTATTTAACAAGATCTAATGTACTATTTTTGATTGTGTTAGTAATACAGGCGGTTCCACGTTCGAGTTGATGGGTGTAACGAGCATGGGGACTGAGAAATGGTGCTCTGCACAGTATTTGTCAGTTCGTATATTTAATAACATGTTTCAAAACTTGAGCTCTTGTACTTGTTGTCATTCAACGGTCGTTGAGAATTTAAAGCAGCTAGACTTCAATGATTGGGCAATGTTTTCTGCCTCTGTCTAGCACCCCGTGGCTCCACCTAGAGTGGATATGGCGACTGAGCCCTACAGGGAGGAAGTTCAAGAAAAACTGCAAATATGTTCACAGCGTATCTGAAGAGATCATCAGAAAGAGGCGAGAGACTTTGGTAAAATAGAATCTTGGATATTTTCCCTCCTTAAATTTATATATTGCCGCAAATCTGTACATTGGTTGTTTTTACCATGCAAATGACCTACCGTTTTAAATTTGAGGGATATTAAACTTAAGATGCTCTTGCAGAAACGATTTTTTCTTGCTACAACCTACGAACAGTTTCTTGCAAACTGTTTAGTTTGCGGCAAATTTGTAGCGAATTTCCTGCAAACTTTCAATCTTGATAAGGGAGGTTAGATTATGGGACAACAAAGCAGCAAGGTTATTTAACACGTGAATCACACAAATAGCATACAATATGCTTTCAGAAGCAGGAGGAAGGCAGCAACAAAAACCGAGCACGCTATCTTGACTTTTTGGACATTTTATTAACTGCTCGAGATTCTGACGGTCAAGGGTTGACTGATGAAGAAATACGAGATGAAGCTGACACATTTTTATTTGAAGGTAGGCGTAATAAACGTGTTATAGCAGAGAGAGGGAGAGAGAGAGCGTGCATTATACTTTTGGGCAATTGCAAAGAATTATTGGTTCCATGCTCGCATCAATGCCTCAGAAAAAGGTCATTGCTCGGCTTTTGAATATGTGTATGAATAATGACCAATCGTTATCTTTAAAAATTCCGAAACCTACATTTCCATATAATAAGGTTGAGAGAAATTCGGGATAAACGTTGAATTTTTTTTAATTTCAAAACTCTACTCCATTTGTTAATTCAGTTAAATCTGCATTTGTCAGTGCAAACGCCAACGTAACACTTAACTCCATAAACAATCTGAACCCTCTTACAGGCCATGACACCACGGCCAGCAGTATCTCCTGGAACTTGTACTCTCTGGCAGAACATCCCGAGGTTCAACAGCGAGCTCAGGCGGAGATAGATGCCCTGCTAGATGGAAGAGAGGACCAAAACGTTACCTGGTAAGTTACACGAGGACAATTTTTTAGTAGTAAGGCAATTGAAAAGTACTCATAGATCGTAACTTTGGTCAATAGTTTTTGATAGGTTGAACCTTGGCGATTGAAGGAAAAATATTGAAATTTCTTGGGGACAGACACAACGTTGCAATAATTTATTTCTCCGGGGGGGGGGGGGGGGATGTTGTCAGGCAAATTAGTTCACTTGAAGAGTTTTATATATTAATCTATTTATGCAGGGACGATATCCACAATTTACCGTACTTGACGATGTGTATAAAAGAGGGGATGCGGCTCCATGCACCAGTGCCATTTGTCCAGAGAGAGCTCAGTAAGGATATGGAGATAGATGGGGTGAAACTGCCTCGTGGTCTTCTCTTAGACCTACATTTGTATACGTTACATCATAACCCCACAATATGGGATAATGATATGGTAAGTGAGCTGGGGAAGTCACGTGTCAATGACGTCATGAAAGCCAACTCTGCTGATGTATATAACATTTAATTTGATATTTTATGTTTGTATCTAATTTTTTTTTATTTAATAGTGGTCCAGAAAGTTAGTTACACATTGCTTATCCGTTACTTAACTAAATAGAAAAAAAGAAAAAAATGTAAATAACATTAAATCTGGTCGCGTAAGTTTTGGGCTACAAAAGGAATGGAAACGATTTTCTTAAATATTCCCATGCACGCAGTTATTCCTAATTGCATAAGTGGCATGAGATTTTGTATTTCTTCTGCCTTGTTGTAAAACCTAATTGTGTCTGGAATACTCTTTACAGAGTCTGCTTCTTCTGGGTTAATCGTTATGTAACTCACGAGTAGGTCATTATTATTTAATTTAAAAGAAAATCCCGTTGCATTATTTTATATATATATATATATATATAGGAGTACAGACCAGAAAGATTTTCACCAGAGAATATAGAAAAGATGGATCCGTTCGCCTACTTGCCATTTTCTGCAGGACCAAGGTACTATTAGAAGTATAGATTCTGTACCTATAGTTCCTAAAGAATTTTGCTTTAATCCGTTCAAGTGTGAGAAATCATACGGTTTTTGCATGTCTGTGAGTATGCCGCATAGTTGGAGGTATGTATTATTGGTGAATATATTTATATTTGGTTTTCCTTTATTTTCTTTATTTATTACCTTTGTATATTATGACAAACATGTTTTAACAGTCAAGTCAGTCCAAGTTTTTGTTAGCGATTGATGCTTTTGAGATGGTTGAGATTGTATGTGATGAAATTATCTCTTTTCAGAAATTGTATCGGACAAAATTTCGCCATGCACGAGCAGAAGGTTGTCATAGCTAGGATATTACACAGGTATGGGGACGTTCCGTTAACAACTTTCTTTAACTTTTTGTTTTATGTTGTAAGTCTCGTATTATGTCATAGCCAGAGTTTAGCAAAATACATGGATCGTGTCTCTGTTGTTATCGGTAGACTCATTTGCTTTTTTGCTAATAATAATAATAATAATAATAATAATAATAATTATTATTATTATTATTATTATTATTCATTTGAAACTACAATTTCAAGGAAGATTTTTTGTTTAAAGTTTTTAGGGGACAGCGAGTCGCCTTTGATCTCCTCTCCAGTTACTCTCATTAAACATTCCGTAATGGTTATAAAATTTTTCTGTTGTCCCGTTCTTAGGTTCATCCTGTCCACAGACCCAACCCACACCCCGAGGAAGAAGATAAGTTTAGTGATGAAGGCGGAGGACGGCATCTACATCAAACTTACGCCAAGATAGACTGCTGGTTTATTTTCAATAATGATTTGATACAGTATTTTTTTACTGCTCATATACATACTAGCATTTATTCAAATCCGTTTAAAACCCAACAAGTCACAAGATACGAGAACTGAAATGACCATAGTGCAAGCCAGATGTGCATTTTTTTTCTGAAGAGGAGACATAATTAAAGTAACAAAAATAATTTTATTGGTAACCTCAAAGAAACAGTTTGCAAATAGTTTATTAGCGGTTATAGCATTACAAGTTAGAGTCGTCCTTAATAAAAAAAGACTGCGTACTGTATTTTAGTAGAGATTAACTCACCTACACATGTAAAAAATTTAAAATATCTAACTGTATGATAAATTATCATTTTTAGAGAAAAGGGTGTGTGTGTGTGTGTGTGCGCGCGCGTGCGTGCGTGCGTGTATGGAGAGAGAGAGAGAGATTTTCCGACCAAGGTCAATCTTGTTTTTTTCAAATGTTGGAAGTGGTAAAGGAGAGAAGTTTTGTTTAAAATGTTGAATAAACTTATACATATTTACGATATACATTTCACTATTTTTGTCATGTATTTAAAAGTTGTGGTTATTTAGGATTGTGTTATCGTGGGCTAATTCTCTATTTTTTCTTTTCTTTTTCTATTTATTTTGATTATTTTTAAATTGTTCAATTTTTAGTAATTTATATAATTTATTTATCTATTTTTATGTTTTGAAATTGCAACCTGCCAATTTCGTTATTGTCATCATAGCAAGTATTCTTGAGTCCTGTCAACGACCCCCCCCCCCCCCCCCACCCACCCNTATCAATGTCAAGCATTTCAAGTACATAGAAGAGCCATCAACGACTTGTGTCAGCGAGACGCGGGCATGTGGGACTATATAACAGCTGTTACTACCAATACCTGATAAACCCAGTGGATTGTTAATATATATATGCCCCAGTAATTGGAAAGGAATCTCATCGCATGAAAGCAATAATATACTTATGAATCCTGAATATGTAATCCAAGCGTCTTCTGTCTTATGAATATCGAAATACATCTTAAAGCCTGATCGCTGACAACAACAGGTGGGTTATAAAACGCCACTAGAAACTATGTAACCAGCGACCGTTGTCATTTGAATTGGAACAGAAACAAATTGTGGGATTAGCCAAAGATCTTCAGGTCACCATGGTGATGGACACGTGTCTGGGATGCCTGAACCTTCGCCAGGGCACCATCGCATCAGGGGTGTGGTCGTCGGTAAGTACCCTGAGTGCCATATACTTAGTGTGATAGGGATGATAATGACAATGATGACGAGATAAGCTTTATTCGTAACATGAAAGTCAGGGCTTAGCGCTGATACTGAAGGTGTATTAGAAGAATCGTTCATGATAAATATCCAAAGGATTCACATATCTGAGACACGATAGTGAAAAAAATAGTGCATCTATATATTCTCCCCTGGTATTCTTAGCCTGTCAGTGTGATTATGGGTTTCATATCAGTCGACGTGTTTTGTTTTATAGTTCTATAGAGGATAGAGCTTGTTTCTATATGTAGTACCACAATGTACAAGCCAATAGACAGGGTTAAGTCAAAACCGGAGTCACCTTGCGATTTTTCGCTCAATACATGTACTTATACAAGTGTTAAGAAGATAAGTGGCCATTAATTGCTCTCTCCCAGACCAGAAACCGTAATACCTAATTCAACATTTGTCTAGGGAAATATTTACTGACTGCATAATAGATAACGCAGTAAGACGGTAGGTCACATATTACAGTGGCACGCGTACTGTGTGTTTAAGACATGCAGGTTTCATGTATAAAGCAGATATTAAAGCGTGTCACCAGCTCATAGAAAAAAAATTAATAAGCCGTATCCATACTCGAGTATGTGGAAACGCTCCGACGTAAATAGTGAAAACTGCAGTGTATGGGTCAGTTTCTGGGTCTGAGAGAGAGAGAGAGAGAGAGAGGCAGGCGAAGTGGAGTGAGAGAGAAAGAATATTTGAAAAAAATATATATATTGTGTTTGTACAGTTAACGTGTGAACTTTGCACGGCTTCATCAACAAAAAACCAACGATTTCATAAATCAGGATATGTATAGCGTGATTCAATGATATATGAGGGATAACGTCACATTCTACCCGGATACTAATTTGGAAATGAATACTTGTTACATGTATAATGAGGACAGTATAATGAAGACTGCACGAGAAAAATGACGAGGAAAATGTTGCATTAATTTAGTGCCCTATTTATATTATATTATATTATATTATATTATATTATATTATATTATATTTGCAGATATGGAGTTGTGTGATGATAGGGATTGATGCGTTTAATTTATGGGGTAGGTAAACAGACATTTAATTCACTCTGATTTGTAGCCATTTGATTCGTTAAATATACTAAATTGAGACTGTTGTTCGCATTATGAAATACACGTACTTAAATGTATCACACACACACACACAGAGAGAGAGAGAGAGAGAGAGAGAGAGAGAGAGAGAGAGAGCACCATAGTTATTGCATGCCAGACATACAGACACCCTGAAAATCTAGTTGAAATTCCCACTTACAGAATACACGAGCCATCTGGCCTACTACCTGAGAGGATACACAGTCTCCAATCACTACGCCCCACTGACAGGGTACCTCACCTGTATCATAGTCCTGGCTGTGATATGGCTTCTCACCTCCGGCATACTCTTCTTTGGCGTTTGTATGGTAAGGAAACGTTTTTTTTTAAATGTATATGTTAGAATACCCGGTATATAAGAAATTTTAAAATGGAATAGAGTATTTACATGTTTATAGTTCTGTCAAAGTTTAAGTTTTTTTATGATTGTCGCTATGCATAATGCGTCTGCTATGCTTATTACTATGTTTCCATTGCTCAATGTCAAAAACAATATTGCTCATGATATATAAAATGCTTCCTACAAATTACTTGAAAACGCATTATTTATTCATTACATTTTGATCAGAATATTTTAATTTTTTTCCAAAAAGAAAAACAAGAACCCTTGGCTGTTTCTTCCATGGGTTATTACGACTGTGATCATCTCATTGGCCTACATCGGCGACTGCATCATGTATTTCATGTACGGTAAGTAATTCCTATAATGAAACACGTCAAAAATTGTATATCTGGTTAATCCATCCGTTCATTTCTTATTTCTGTTAATTTGTTATTACTAAAGAAAGCTATCAGGGAATTCAGTGCATCTGTCGTTTATACATATTCTGTCAGAATATTATTTGCATTAATGAGGATGTAAAAAGTTAAGATCATATTCATGTGTTGCAATAGTCCTATATTTATGGCATGGCTTCGTTGTATATTGGACAACTTCTATTACTGTGATTGTGAAATGAAATATCATAACTCCATTTTTTTCGATGTGCTTGATATGGCAAATAATAATATTAATAATCCCATATTAAAAATCTCAAATGCGTTTCTTTTCAGTGAGCGTCATATGGGGAATAATAACAATCTGCATTTTCCTCGTGCTCATATCGTCAAATGTAAGCGAAAATTTTCTTCACTACCGAATGTCGTCGTCTTGTAAACCTCCCTGTTGTCCCGTCTACCACCATTAAAATTTTTAGAAAAAAAGTCGATTGTCATAATTTTAGATTTTTCCTAGCTATGAGGTAATCGTTATTAAGAAATCTTTTTCTGTTACCCCAGAGGGAGAAATAAAACTGAAAAAGACGTTGTTTTCCTAAAATGCTAAAACGTCCCAATTTTGAAAAGCACCCAGGGAACGTCCGTATAATATTATTGGACACGAAAAGAACTGCAATCGAACAATTCAAATTAAATATCTTTTACAACGACGTGCCATAAAAATGTGGCTCATTCTGTTAAAATAGGCAGCAATGCAAATAAGAACTAATCTTACCACCAAAGTCATATGAAGTGATTAAATATATACCAGGACTATAATGTTGTCTGAATTTCAATCTCTGTGTAATCATTTTATATTTATAAATTATCATTCGTAGTTATAGAATATATGGCTAGGTTATAGTTATTGTACAAATGTACTTTCACCTTATTAGATAATTAATAAATAATAAGTATTCTATAGCACAATTGAGCTTCACCAAACCCACAAGACGACAACCCCGATAGTCTAAAACAATCAATCCAATTTCCGTGAAATCAAAGGTCAATTAATTATTTATCAAATATGTATGTATTTATTTTCAGATCTATGCATTACTGTGCGTGGGGTTTTACTTTAAGTTACTCAGGAAGGGAAAAGATGCGCCCCACGAACGCTCTCGATCTCGAAAGGTAAGTCAAAGATACCGCTGATGCCAATGAAACCCTTTGGACCAAATTGGTCAAAACGAAAATCTTCAAAAAGTCACTCTGTGTTTCAATTACCCTCTACCAGGATCACAGGATTTTGTTTCGCTTAACTTTCAAGGATATATCTCTAGCTAATTCTGTGCACGGCTCTAAACTGTTCTAACCTTTTAACAGAAACGACGTTTCAGGAGTCATTTGTAATGCGTCTCAGTTTTTAGAATGTCTCACGGCAATTTCTTAAACATCAACCAACATCACTGCTGTGTATGCCATTCTCTTATAGCCTTAAAACGCCGTGCATTTTCTTTCTATATTCTTATAGCCTCACGCACGTGAGGGAAGCCAAAAGAAGGGGACCTCAAACAAGGGCTACGAGTACCCCCTCGGGGAGCGCCCCACGCCAGAGTATCCAAAACACGGGTTCCGTGGTCAGAGGTATGCCTCAAGGAGTTCGGAGCATGATCAGAACCAAATGCCACCGCCGTACGAAGAACACTCTGGTGACCGCGTGTGATGTGAATACTTGACTGCATGAGGCCATTTGTCTCTGACGTAGGGCATACAATGCATTATAGAAAGAAATTTTGGTTTTATCATTGTTTTACTCATCTTTTGGTGGAAGAAAACAACGTACTGTCTGAGTTTGAAGATTCAAGGATTCCACTATTTGAATTGTGTGTGCTTAAATGCATCAAGCAATGCCGCCATTACTTTAAACAGGTGATCTTTAGGTTCTAATGACGAAGGCAAAAGGTAAATCTTCCAATCTCTGAAAGGGTGAGTGTTGAAGTGAATACGCCCTCCTTTTTCGAGAAGGAAGAAGCTGGAGATAGATTTTAAAGAGGGTCGAGTCTCTCCCGCCCTTGAACAACGTTTAAGTGATATAATTCGGTTTTCAATGGAGCAGTTCGGATTCCCATTTTCTAAAGATGCCTTCCTTATGACCATGAATATAATATTTATTTTTAATTATATTTTTGTAAACTTTTGAATTTTCGAGTGGGACAAATAACCATCTACGTCTAATGGTACACAAGACAAAAATCCACCCGAACGTAGAACGCGTCAAACAAGTAGTATTAACATTTATCGAGATATGAGAGAATTGTTTCATATTTTAGAGTTTTTATATCACTTTTTGAGCCTTTTGTACATTATTTGCTAGATGCTAAGTAGCATACATGTAATGTTTAGGATGCATCCCAAGCAAAATTTCGTATGTACCTTGGAAACTTCCGTTGAATTCTTAGTAATAATACATTGATTATTTAAAGAATCTCGTTTTTTTTCGTGGCACATGCAAGCAGATGCAAAGATTCCAACTTTTGTAATTGAAGTGCCTTGGTCGATGTCGATCTTTTAAACTATATTTGTGGATATATAATTTATGTAGATATCAAATGTACAAAAAATTATCACATGAGTTGTTGCTTATTTATTTATTGACACTGCGTAGAAAAGTGATTGTTTAGTTTATGCTGTTTATTTGTGATATAAATCTATCTTTTAATAAAGATCAATTTCCCTTATTTTATTTTTACGAAACTGAGCTTTATATAAACATTTAAATGACGTATTGACCATAACAAATTCATTTATCGGCCCTCAACAACTCAAAAATCTAGTAAGAATATAGAAATAAAAAATTTAATTTCTACATTTTTCTCAACATACATGTACATTATGCACTGTGTCAAAGAATTGTGTCGTTTTGCTACTCTGGTTTGAATCTTAACTCCGCATACATTTGCACGCATAAAAATGTGTGTTCCGTTCCAGTTTGAGGTCGGTAACATGAGCATTTTTCCATGTAGACTCAGGTATACATAGCACACAAAAGGTTGACAGACGATTTGATCAAGAAATAGATAAAGTTGAAATTGTGACACACGCACACAAAATGTTTGTATTGCTGTATACCACCATGTAATGAAGACAAATCAATCCCGGCTTTTGCCTTTTCATATTGGCGTTTATATTATGACAAGTTAATTGGCCTTCAACTATCCAATGGTCAAATAAGGAACTGCCCCACAAAGTTTTAAAACTTTCCGAATCAGTGGAATCAGTTCTCGCTGGGGTAGGAATGGAGACATGAAATTTAGATGAACTCCCATGGTCGAACAATTTACGACTGATCTATCCTTGAATTTTTTTAAAAAGAATATTAAAAATAATTATTTAAACTTCTATGCACTCTCTCGAGATAAACGAATATTCTTAATGCAGGATAAATCAATTAAGTCAGAGACGTTTTCAGAAAATGTGCAAATTTTTTTCTTGCGTTTTGACATCAGCGAATATCTTCTCTCTCTTTTTCTCTCTCTTTTCTCCAAGAGTTTGAACAAACATTTAATCATTTTTATTTCATTTTATTTCAATCCGACTCTGCATGTTAAGATAACTACACTTTCTCAGGAAATGTGGACTTAATCATACTGAATAGGTTTTGCACCAAAATGTATCGAGTTTTGGCATTAGTAACCGTTAAATTGTAAACCGTTTATACTTCGTTAGCTGTCGAAATTCGTGATAACGTAAATGCAATAATGTTCTACAGAACAATTTAATAGGGTCAAATACTTTGGGGAAAAGCACGTTTGTTTCGACAAGGTTGACCAGGCCCGTAGCCAGCAATTTCAAAAGGGGGGTTCTTTTTCTGAAAAAGTGGACCTTTTTCCATAAAAACTTTATGAACCTAGATCAAATTTTACCCAGAGTGGATCTTTTTCCACCAAAAGGGGCGGTTCTTTCGAACCCCCCGAACCCCCCCCCCCCCTGGCTACGGGCCTGTTGACGTTGGGGTAAAGTAGGCGATGATAATAATCTTTTCTACCTATATATCTTGATGCAAATGCTTAACCTTGATTAAATAGTGACAGAAAACAACTTGACAAGATTAAAGATAAAACCGAAGAATTCGAATTCCAATCATCAGGATATTGTTAGCGCGCATTAATTGGTAAAGAGCCCTTGGCCAATGGCACGTTTTCTAGGTACAGCATTCGAAGGCCACACTGTTTAATGCAGTGTCGTCGTCGCCTCTTACATTCTCCTGAAATTTGACTCTTAGACCGCAGACGAAGTAACCTTTATTACACAGTCTCCACGCCGACCAGGACCCCCATGGGCCACCGTTACCGGAGCTGAGTACTGCACCGTCGCTACACTTCAACTCTAGATCGTTAGCTGCCGAATCATCGAAGATGCCCTGATGTCCCTCTACCTTCAAGCGGAACCCAATAACGTAACTGAAACGATAGGAAATATGATGCAAGACAGGCAAAGGTTAAATTAATTAATAAAGGGATCAACTATAATTTACATAAGCGCTTTAAAACAATTACAGGCCCGTAGCCAGCAATTTCAAAAGGGGGGTTCTTTTTCTGAAAAAGTGGACCTTTTTCCATATAAACGTCACGTACATAGATCAGATTTTACCCAGAGTGGACCTTTTCCCAGCAAAAGGGGTGGTTCTTTCGAACCCCCCGAACCCCCCTGGCTACGGGCCTGAATTATAAGTTATCTTCCTAGGTGCTTTTTCAATGTAACTTTTTTTATTAAACAAGAAGAAAGCAGTGATGTTGATTGAACCCTCTATGTATATAGATGAACCGTATGTATATAGATGAATGTATGTTTGTAAGTATATATATGTTTTCATGACCGTCTGTCAGTCCGTTTACCATTAATACAGAACAGGAAACCATCATTACCTGTCGGCACTACAAAACACTGCCAACCCCCACGAGCCCCAGATTCCTCCATGTGGAAAGAGATGTGCGTGCTTCTCGCAGATTAGAGCGATCGCATTCAAGGCTGAATCATCGCCTAAAATGGGAAACAAGAATGTGCATTGGAGTTTACTTCTGTCAATAGAAAATACCCCCCCCCCCCAAAAAAAAAAAAAATAGTAATAATTATATATATAACGGGTATATACGCGTAAAACTATCTCTTTCTATCAGTATTTATCAATGAAAAATATTATGGCAATCCTGCTTTGTTTTTGTTAAAATTTACCGGAATAGATCCTTTCAAGTTGAGCTCCATTTTAGGCTGAAACAATTTCAAAATTTTAAGTTTGAGAATCCTGACTACAATGAAGTCTAAAATTTAGCTGATATGTCTGTTAAACATGTGAAGAATACAAAATATAAATTTTGAATTTCTACTTGTCTGTCGACCTGGTCCACAGAAAGTCGCCGCTCGTTTTACAACTTATTTATCGACATCGACGGAAAATGAGAAAATACCGTCACATTCTTTTGATAAGTATAAAAATGAATTTATGCAATTTATATATCTTACCTAGCCCTTGCCTGCCCTCTACCCTCAACTGAAACCCTTTAACTTTCAGCCCAGGGCATGATTTCTTGGCGGTCCAAGTTCCCCAAGGGCCTCCATTGAGGGCGTACATCTCGTACGCTGTGCAGGGTATGATAATGGCAAGCAAGAAGACAGCTCTAGTGACGTGTGCCATTGCCGACTAGCGTTGCAAACAGTTCTCTTACCTACGTGGTCTTTAAACACGGTAAATGTTGGACAGCACATAATATAGTCGTAATTATATAGCATCTTTGGTAATTGATGCTTACCTTTTATCAGACGAAGCCATCTCTCCGTCATAGTACACTATTGTTGTTGAACGGAGTTTGTTTATCCAAAACAAAACTTTCTCAGATAAAAAGAAAGATAGAATGTGCTTTAAATTACTTTGTAATGCTTGGGCTTTGTTGTTGCTGGGATGGTTATTTGCAATTTCATCCAGGGTTTTTTCGTGACCTTTTAGCTACTGTATAAGTAAACAAAATTCTCATTTCCGTAATTATTCTCAGAAAAGTTGACATCTATCTTATGTATTCATCTTGACATTGCTGTTTGTGGTTTTTGTGGAATAAGTGACTAAAGCAAGAAAACGCACATACATCTACTAGTAGATGGCTGATGTCCATGTTAGGTGGTACGGGGAAAAGTATATAAAAAAAAAAACACGGAGATAATTAAAGTGGTATTTTTGCCCAAATAATTCAACTAACATAGCTTGTAACATACCGAGATTTGAGAGAAATGTTATATATATATATTTTGGTGACATTATTTGCTACGTTCTAAGTAGCATACATGTAATGCTTTGGGATGAATCCCGAGCAAAAATTCGTATGCACCTTGGAAACTTCTGTTGAATTTCGAGTAATGTACGGATAATGTACTGATCATTCAAAGAATTTCGTTTTTCCGTGGCGCACGCAAGCAAAAAGTTAACGATGTCATACTTTGTAAGTGCCTTGGTCGATGTCGATATTTTAAACTGTATTTGTGGACATATAATTTATGTAGATATCAAATGTACAAAAAATTAGCACATGAGTTGTTGCTTATTTATTGACTGACTTTGCGTATAAAAGTGATTGTTTAGTTTATGCCGTTTATTTGTGATATAAATATATCTTTTTCTGATAAAGAGTGATTGCCCTTGCTTTATTTAAAAAAATACATTTATATGACGTATTGGCAATGAAAATTTCATTTATCGGCCTTCAATTATTCGCATCCGCGGACCCCCCCTCCCCCCTTCGAATAATCCTGGATCCGCCCCTGTCTTTGCTTAATTGCCCGTTTCTCCTTTGGATGGACGCAAGCACCAAACTCTCATCAAACCGCTGCCAACACCCATGCTTTCTGATCCTTTGCTTTTGGAATTCCTGCGGATCTATCTCGGACAGTCACTGCACTATTCTAAAAGTCAAACGTAGGCCTCGTACACGGAGTTTCTAACACACTTCCCATTGTGCTCTTTTCACAGCTTGTAAGTTGCAACTGTCGCAATGTGTGACATTTCAACCACCTGTTATGGTGGAATACATCATTTCTACCCCATCCGTACGCCTTTGTTAGATTTTTCGTCAATTCTTATGAAGATATCGACCCTTTTTATATTTTGAATTATATAAATAAATAAATTATCATAGAAACAAAATTTTAATGAGTGGTTTGGTCAATACAGTGTTCTTTTAGTAAAAAGAACAGAATATTTATTGCGGAGCAGAGGGAAGGCAAGCGGTTGTTTGAAAAGTAGGTCATCCAGTATGGAAGCTTGTGTCCAAGCTTGTTAGTTGCTGTGCTGAAAGTTTGAATCATTCAAGAGCTCGAAGATCGATGCAAGCGCACAGAGAGGTAAGTGCACCAACTTTAGTATAAGCTAACTTAATAAAGCTGGTAAAACTTCTGGAGTGGGTTTGCTGAAGCCATATCACAGCAGAAAAAAAGGTCGGTGATCGTTTTATTTACATTCATTCAAATAGATTGATTTCAATTCAAATTCGATTTATTGCTCATGTCTCTCCGACGGAAGAATGTTTTTTAGTCGCCAAGAGGGTGTGACTATCGATAAAACTTCCCTGGTGAAGTTTGACTTTCACTTTAGTCATTGTATCTAAGTCTGAGCAGAGGAGGTGATAAATTAAGTTTAATTATACGCAGTATTTTACACATTCTGAATATCGTGTGGATATGAAAATAATAATAAAAAAAGAAGCAGCATGCACTAATGAAGCTGTCACCAATCTGATTATCAATAAAATTATCTTGTGTGATAAGCACTTAGTCTGACGTAGTTGTGGTTTTTGGGTTATTTCAACTGTTGTAAGAGAGAGAGAGAGAGAGAGAGAGAGAGAGAGAGAATGTGCGCAAATGACAGTACGGTAATTACTACATTTTTTCAATTGGGGAAATTGTTAATTTTACAGTTATTGCATTTTTAAGTCACAATTTCTTATAAGTATAACATTCCTATGGAGTGGGAGCAACAAAATTAAAAAGCATGCTACTCTATATTGATCTGTTCTTTGCAGTAAAAGGACCACAAATGTCACATAAAAATATAATATTTGGGATTATAAAGTCATGTAACTTAAAGTTTGACAATTTTTGCCCATTGAAAAGACCCAGTAATTAAAGTATACATGTATGTTGCTGTCCTGAAAGATGCAGCTTCACATTTCACAAATTCATCATATGCAAAATATAGTAAATAATATAGCAATCTGTGAAGGCTCACTTGAATGCATAAAATATACAGCCCAATTAATATACAAAAGTCAATACTGGGGTCTAAATAGATTAAAAGATCTGAGGCTTAACATGTTTAAGACAACTTCAATCATTGACACATCAATTATTTATCTCCAGAAGTATTAAGTGCAAATGGCAAGGTGTTTCACAGAGCTTTTGTATAAAATTGAAAGTCTACTTTGTGACCTTTGCTCACTATAGTGATTACAGTCGCTTTAGAGGAAAAAAGTCAAGAAATATAAGAAAATAGTTTTATGGCTAGCTTGTAAAAATAAATAAAAATGAATAAGAATAATTTGATGATAGAGAAGATAATGGTAATTATTGTGACAATGATAATAAAGTTAAAATAATAAATATTAAGAAAAATTGGCAATTATTATTATTATTTATCTTTTCAGAATTTTCATAATATTCAGACGGGTGTGCCATGATCAAGTTTTAACAGTAAAGCCTCAACCAGCAATATGGATGCATGGAAAACTTTCCTAGCAGTTATCTTTTTGTGTACAGCCTTAGCTCAAACACAAGATGGCTCTGCAACAACAGCAGCAACAACAACAACAGCAACAACATCAACAACAACAGTGCCAGGAACCTCAGGAAAAACTGCATCCAATACAACAACAACATCAGCAACAAGAAGAACTACAATATCTTCAATACTATCACCCAAAAATTTACCCAAATCAGAAGTTAGCAGTGTGCCAACAGTAACAGCGGGTTCGCCATCAACAGTAGCAGCAATGACTGAATCATCGACCACGGAGTTATCGAGAAATGAGACAGAAAGGTGTCTAAATGAAAAGTTACCTGGTACGCAGAGATGGCAGAGCAATATGGAGGGGTCTTCAGTTACTGTGGAATGGGGGTATGGACCTGTAAGTAAACCAGTATTTAATATATACATGTACTATAGTTTTTATATTTCACTATTGTAAATGGGAAAAAAGTTCCATTTTCAACTTCAGTCAATATTTAGGTATTGTGTGTAATCAAAACAGCAGTGGTGCATTTGGCTACAATAAATTCCCTATGTGCATAGACTGTGTAAAGATGTCTTTCACATTTACTAACTAGTACACATACACAAAACTGTAGCCAAATGAAAAGAGAGAAATAATAAGCCTTAAAAACGGAAGATAGAATTTGTTCAAATTTTTATTAAGTAGAAAATTGCCCATTTGCTTTTTAAGCAAGAATGTGTGTGTGTGTGTGTGTGTGTGTGTGTGTGTGTGTGTGTGTGTGAGAGAGAGAGAGAGAGAGAGAGAGAGAGAAATATACCTGTAGCAATTCATTCCAGTTTGAATGGTGAGAGTGCAGACATCTTTTTATCCTCACAAAGCTTAGAAACTTTCAATAAATTTCATGGTGTCCATTACTAAATGTTAAGATAATATGATTTTATTCAAATATTGATGGGAGATGTCATCTATGTGACAGTGCCTGTAGCAATCTTGAGTCAGCAAAATGAAAACACCAGATGATACCATTTTGAATAATAGATGATAGTATTCTTTGTATAGATTTGCGCAAAGTCAGGTGTTGACTTCCTTAATAATATTGATATTCTTAACAAAGAAAGAACCCCTGATGATGCTGCAATGTATTTTTTTAGCAGTCTGGCTTAATTTTTGATTTCTAGCAAAGCAGTACGTGTTTTTTCTGCTCCCTCCTCCACCACATACTAGTAGCAATTCTTCACTAAATGTGAACATAAATTTTCTCTTTTCCAAAACAGTTCTTCATTTACTCATTCCAAAAAAGACAAAAAGATTGCTTCAAATATATACATAACTGAGTGTACTTTTCAGTCTTGGCCTGAGGGATTTTTATGTGAATTATTCTTTTGGTGTGAAATATTGTAAATCTTGTGCTTATGATAAAAAAGAAAAAAGATTTGAATGATCAAATTAGGTGTTTGAAATTTAAGAATATTTACCGTCCCTGTACCAGCATGTGTATGATAAACAATTCCAAGTTCTCTAGTTCTATACAACACAAATGAACAGGACCATTTATCAAACACACATGCACACAAACATATATATATTTAATCAGGATGATTATATTTTCTTTTGTGATAAGGCAGATGTGATTTTTAAAGAAGACACATAACTTGCCTAGAGATTTGGTGGGTCTTAGATTACTGTATATGAAACCTTTTAAGCATTTTCTGCTTTGATAACCTTGTATTCATCCTCTGATGTCCCTGCCTTGGTGGTTTTATAAAATTGCTTTTGCTAGAATGGCTATAACAATTATAGTAATAATTTTCACAAGGATAATGAAGAGATTACTTCCATTTTTCCAGTCCTAGCAGCTCAACTGGTTCTTAATGCACCTTTTAGTTGTCAATCTGACACAGTGAACCAATACAGACTATACATCTTAAAAAAGTGATGTGAAAAGGGTTTTACAGTGGAGACAAACAAGGAATTATGGTATATCTCATGCAAATTATAGTCATAATAGATAATCAGAAGTGTTATGCAGGTTTTATTCACTCCACCCCTCCCACTAAAAGTGATTAAACAAATAATAATAATAATAATGATATTAAGCCTTTCATCAGTAACTTCTTACAGAAATACAATGGTTTTACTCTTTATCACATAATAATAATGTGTCAACATATTAAATTGCCTTTTTGCACGTCAATATTACTTCAAGAGCTGATAAAACATTGGCACCGGTGTCTATAAGTTAGTATAACTTGCTGTAGTCAAGTGTCATCTTCATCAACTGAAAGTAATTCTGTTCAGTTTTTGGTTCCTTGAAGTAGGTGATAGATGGCACAGATAGAGGCTGCTAGAACTCCAGACATGATTTTCCAAGTAGACGTCACATTGGTGGGCAAGGATATAATTGGCATTCATACAGCGTTACATCAGCTTAAGGAGCATCTTTTGGGATATGGATCTATTAAGCCCAGAAAAATGAGAAAATACTGCCAATTTTCAAATCATCTGTCACACCAACAAAATCATTATAGTCCTCCAAATACAGATGTCTGTTCTTGAATACATGATTAAAGACATATTTTGTAACATATTTTTACCAGCGGAATAACAGTGACATCTTACTGTAGGCTAAAATTGCAACCACATACCCCGCTGAGATGTGCTTAATAGAGTTAGAACAACTCAATTTGAAAAGAAACATGGTTTTGTTCTATCCATTTATGTTGGGGTCTCAAAGTCTCATCAGTCTAACTTCAGGAACATTTCTCAAATATCATTTCAGCATCATTTCTTCTCATTAGCATTATCAAAACAAATCACTGGTTTCTACATATTTCATTTCATTCCAACTTCGATCTTTTCTCCTGATGAATGCGGTGGGCTTGTTAAATGTTATCTCCCACGAATAAACATCCTTTATTGAAGTAACCATGTAACTTGAGATTAGTTTTATGCAGAGATCTATTCAAGTCTGTTTTCATAAAAGTGTTCTTCTGCGACTCTGATAAAGGCATCCTATTTTTATGACACATATTGTGTTTCAGCTCTACTCAAGTGGCTACCATAATTAGGCAATCTAAATAACTGGGCACTCAGTATAATTTCATCGTCTTTCTTGCAATGAAAAGTAAGCCAATCATCAGGCAATTAATTTAAAAGTTGAAATACTGTATAAAACAATTGATTTTTAATTTAAAAAAAATTTAGACTTCACGTTAGGTAATAGCATGATTTGTCAATTTTTTATGTTAATTAAAGGCTAATAACGGGGTGGAAGAGGGTGCGGGTAGAGGGGTGGGGTGGACGAGAGGGTACCCAAGTCCACCACTGAAATGGGGTGCAGGACACTCAATTCAAGTGGGACTCTTGGCAACTGAAAAACGGTGATTGAGTTCAATAGCCTGTACCAAGGGGAATACAGATAAGAACCTAATGTTCAGGCAAATGTGCCATAGCAATCAATGGAAGTCACCCAGGCAGAATTGGAAATCTCCAAGATAAAGGAATGGAGAAAAATCCGAGTAATTACTGTCACTGTTCTTGCGGAAATTATGAGATAAAATAGCTGGATGAGCTATGGGTTTTCAAGTATGAGAACAAAATTGATGCAGTTCGAGTAATCTGGACGCGGCCCTGATGGATCTCAAATGTCCTGAAGAATGCTTTAGAAAAGCAAAAGGAAATCTATACTTGAATGAAAAGAAAGAAATCTTTTGAAGCCCACACAAAGTCCATGTAGAAACAAACAGGTGTCCTGAGAAAATATTTAGATGAAATCTCAACATTATTCTGCAGGTAATTAATAGGCAAGTTCAGTTAATGCTCTTAGATAAACAACTTAGGAAATCACAGATATTTCTCTCATTGTTTTTGTACATATAACCAGATAAACAGCTAGCATCACTGAGGGACATCAAATATTTTGATTTGTAAGTACCATTAATTTTGAGGAAATAAGACAGGGGACTCTCGAGTAATTTAGTAATCTCCAGTGACGAAACAGCCAGAACAAAGGTTCAGCACCATCAAAGGGAACTCATGTAATGATTCAGAAGTAAAAATGGACAAATATATTTAGTCCCTGTAATTTTTTTTCCTTTTTATCCATCCATATGGAAACTTTCAATAAATTTAATTGTAAACCTCTATACAGAAAGATCCCTGCAACACCAGCAATTCACAGTTTTGGCATTGGAAATGGCAAGTTGTAGCTCTAAATAAAATACCAACATTGTGAAAATACATACAACATTTTGATAAAAGTACAAAATCCACAACTGCATGTCCAGTTGACGTTTTGGCAAAAATTCCTAGGATCAAATATGGCGCGATCCACATGTAAGTGTGCTGAGATTGAATTGCTCTCCCCCTGCTGGACGTCGGGAATCCATCGTCAGGTTTGCGCCATTTTGATCTGTGGACTAGTTAATCCATGGATCAACTGGTGGTATACACCCTATTAGTGTCACCTAGAGCTCATTCAGAACAGCGGCTAACGGATCCACATATCAAATATGGCGACCCATTATGTTGACAAGGTATCATATAGAAATCAATGAAACTGTCAACCCTTGAAAAAGGATACTTTCAGTTAATGATCTTCTTTGTTGAAAGAGCTCAGTAGGCGTGATTTGGCTTGAAAAATTACACGGTAAATTTTCTCTCTAATAATCAAAATAAACAGTGAACAGGTAGTAGAATTCAATATTTTCAGGAGCATCAGAAGAAAGACAACGACAGGAAATGAAAATAGTGGTTTTAGACAATCCAAAACTTTTACTTTTAACGTGAGTGTAATGAGGGGGAAGTAATTGCACAGTAAATTTCTCATCATTTGTACGATGAATGGCAAAAAACACATAAGAAATCCAATATGTTGCCATAACAATGTATGGAAACCAAAGCAAACGGCAAAAATTATGTTTCTAAATGAGTCAGAAGTCCTTTTAGTGTAACACAAATGACTATTGCAAGCGTAATGAGGCTTAGAAAATCATTCCGCAAATGGATAAAAAAAAAGGGGAAAAAAGACTTTGCACCAGATGTAAGATCTCCATATCTAATGAGCTTTTCCATTTCCATTGTTCATTATTTTTTCATTGTCTGAAATATTTTCTCAATTAAGAACCTCCGTGAGGAGTAAATTGTCAATTTTTTTCAGTACAGTATTTCTTACAAACAGTTTTCGTATATTCCTGGTCCATTATGTAAAACAATACTGAAGGGTTTTGGTGGTGAACATGCAAGAAAAAACACAGAATGCATTGCATCCCAATGGTTAATAGTATAATTAGCTACAAAGGCAGGTATGCACAAGGCCACCAAGTAAAGAGCAAGTGTGATCTTGGTTCAGAAAAATTGTGGAGGGTTTGGATTTAAGAAAATGAAAGATGAAGAAGCTGAAGGATCCATAAATGTCTAAACACATAAAGGGAACAACTAACAAATGAATGAGTGAAAAAAACAAACTAAAAATAAAGTTTACGATTAAATCCCAGACTTGACATATAAACTCTTGATCATAACTTTGTATTTATTGATAATTCCGTAGCTAATACAGGAATTTAAAGACCAACTTAATAGTTTCATTTTTGTCTCCCTTCTATTTTTTCCTTGATTCTTCTCTATACTTTCAGATTTAATTTCACTTTCATTTTCTCTCTAGGTACAATTTAGATTACATTTCCATTTTGCTTTCACTTTCATTTTCACATTTCAGGAAACCAGCTGTGCCCTGTTCAGTGGCACTAAACTCATATTAGTGGACAATACATCCCTGCCTTTTTCAATTAAATGGTTGCATTTTCATTTCATTGGCACTTTCACTCTCATAATGAATTTCACTTTCACTTTCAATTTCATTTGTATTCCAGGAGACCTGTAGCACCTTGGCCAGTTGCACTGGACTCCCGGTAGTGGACGATATTGACCTGCCCCCTCAGATGATTCCAAGGGAGATCCAGACAGGAGTTACCCTCAAGTAAGTACAGGGTTCAAGCTCACAAGAGAAAAAGTCCATGTTGGTATAAATTTCAATATTCTTGATAATCTTAGAGCGCATTCTCAACGAATTAAGCCAGGCTTTACAAAGCTGGTGACCTAAAAATGGCGGACGTACATGAAAGAAAAAACGCCTAATCTTTTAATAGTCTCTCTGCCTCTCACACGCCTCCCCACACGTTGTCCCTGTGGGGTACAGTAATTAAATCTCGGCTCCGAACATTAATATTTCCGTGAATATCTCTGGTGATATTATCTCCGTAGATAGTCGATTCATTGCTGCTCTACGGGCCAAATTATTCCTTTTTCGTCTCTGTTTTCAAAGATAATAGAACAGAAGAGCTTTTTTCCTTCGATCGCCTTCAGCCGCCATGCTTTCTTCACCACGAGTTTAACTGATGAGCATGCGGACTTAATATTTCTCAGGTAGCTTCTGCATGGCGAACGGAGACGCGATTCAATTACTGTACCCTGCAGGGACGACGTGTGGGGAGGCGGAGAGACTATTAAAAGATTAGGCGGTTTTTCTTTCATGTACGTCTGCCATTTTTAGGTCACCGGCTTTGTAAAGCCTGGCTTAATTCGTTGAGAATGTGCTCTTAGTCTATTTTGTGGGATTAATCTGTTGAACTGGGTACTGTAGTTCATTAAAGTAATGTATTATTATAGCTATAATATTAGTCTAAAACGCCCCTGCCATTTCTGTAAAATTTACAATTTTCTGCTTTGAAAAGATTGAGTCATTACAATAGCTTTGTTTTATGAAACTGACTCCAGATATGGTTGTAGAGAGATAATTGACAGGTAATTTGTGCCCCCTGGGATAGATTTTATTATCGAGTTCGTAACATGTAATATATGATGTGCCAGTTATCAATCAGCGAAGTCTCAAGTGCAAGAAATCTCGTGGGAGACTGATAGGCTGTATTCACAACTAAAGTTGATCCTCAGACTAACTGATCTGTGGATCAAATATGGCTGATCAACTTGAAAGCTTGCCATGTGATCCCTGTGGGAAATCTATTCAGTGCCTGTTAGGGGATTATGTGGCGAACTTTCAAGTGAGTTGGCCATATTTGATCTGCGGATCTGTTAGATGGAGGATAAACTCCTTGTGAATGTGGGCATATATGTATGTATGAGCTAAAGCCATCTCATTTTCTGAATGCACTTGTGCGTTCATAGTTAAGCTTGTTCTGTACCAGCAACTTATTAAGTGGTTATCATTGTCTGATCAACACTGCTGAAGTACATCAGGCTTTTAAGGGTTCTCTCAGTTGTATCAATGCTACAAAAAAAAAAAAAAAAAAAAAAGATAAATAATAAAATTAAAAAGTATTTGTGATTAAATGATAAAAAAATTGGGGAAAAATTAAGCACATTTCTGGCAATATCAAAGTAAGCAGCTGTAAACTAGCTCTACAAGGAAGCACTTGGAAAAATAGCTTCAATTTCAAAGACACACGTTTATGAAATCCAAGACAATTGCCATTGAAACGGCAGGAAGTTTTAAAAAATTCATTATCATGTGTTTATAAATAGGCTAAATAACAAATGCATCTCAATTTGTATAAAATATATATGTCCTTTCAGTTTCATCTCCAGCAGAAAGCCAGGACAATCCTTTGCCATGCAGCCTATTTATGTGACAGAGGACAATTTCAATGAGTGTGTCACCGAGGGGGGGACACCTGTCATTGCTGAACCCACCCACAGCGTGTTTCAAGTGGACAGGCAGTTCCTGCAGCCTGGCAACAATTACTTTATTGGTGAGAATTTGAGAGAAAGTGATTGGATGTAACACAGCCCTTAGCAAAATATCAAGCCTGCTGCAAATTTGCAGTGAATTTGCAGCAAATTTGCTGCAATATTGCCACAAACTGCAATTCCTTCTTGCAAATCTGCAGCAAATTTGCTGTAATATTGCTGCAAGTCAGCAGTAATAATTTTTCTGGCAAACTCTTGCAAACTTATAACTGCAAACTTTTACCTTGCCACAATAATGCTACCACCTTTTCATTCAGTGAAATGTTTTTTGCATGTTTGTTTTGTGTGTGTTGGAGGTGGGGGGGGGGGGGTATGGGCAATACCATCATTAATAATAGTTTAAAAAGTATGATAAGAACTTTTTCTTTTGACAGGAAAAACACTTGGGTGATAACTTTATTGGTGAGAGTTGGAAAGAATATGAGTAGATGTCAAACAATTGTTTTCTTTTGAAAATGAGTGTGTGGGTATGATTTGTCTCTGATCTATTTGTAGAGGGAGGGAGAATTGACTGACAGTTCGAGGCAGACATAAGTATATTGTTCTTGCCTTCAAAACTTACATAAAGAACTAGAAAGAAAAACAATTACATAAAGTAAAAGAAATAATAAAAGTGAAGTACATTCATGAGAATGGGTCTATTAAAATTTTTGTAAATTTTGTAAATTCAGACATAATTATCATACCCTGTTTTTGGATGGGGATNTATGGGCAATAACATCATTAATAATAGTTTAAAAAGTATGATAAGAACTTTTTCTTTTGACAGGAAAAACACTTGGGTGATAACTTTATTGGTGAGAGTTGGAAAGAATATGAGTAGATGTCAAACAATTGTTTTCTTTTGAAAATGAGTGTGTGGTTATGATTTGTCTCTGATCTATTTGTAGAGGGAGGGAGAATTGACTCACACAGTTCGAGGCAGACATAAGTATATTGTTCTTGCCTTCAAAACTTACATAAAGAACTAGAAAGAAAAACAATTACATAAAGTAAAAGAAATAATAAAAGTGAAGTACATTCATGAGAATGGGTCTATTAAAATTTTTGTAAATTTTGTAAATTCAGACATAATTATCATATCCTGTTTTTGGATGGGGATAGATACCAAGAAATAATAATTGTTTTTTCAATGTCCACAAGCACCACCTGGCCAATACAGGCAGTGCCTCAGGTGACGCACATTTTTCCTTCTATAATGTACATAACATCACATCAGCAGTTCAATTTTCCTGAAAGGTTAATTAGTTTCTGGAGGAAAACATGGATGCTGAATTAACCATAGCAACCACAAAGTAAGCCTTAATTAGGATGTACTTGCCTCGAGAAAAACACGGAAAAGATCTATTGAGGCAGATATTGCGATGATTGGTGCCACTGTTGAAGGAGGCGAGAGGGCAAATGATGTCAGAGAGATATTTGTTATTACTTTTTTTTTGCTGGAAGAGAAGTGGAAAGATGACACCCTGTGCTTTACTGAAAACAAGACAACGTGCTTAACGGCAGTTGTTGTTCTACTTGACTGGCCAGTCATTTAAAACTAAATAATTAAATTGAAAATGGAGTAAGACATCAAATCCTAGTGCAGTGACAGGTCAAGCAATAATTTCGTGAGTAGAAGAAAATTGCTGTTTACCTCAGGAAAATTCATTTTGGCTGAAATTCCATAGAGAGCACTTTTAAGGGGCATGTTAGCATTCAGTCAATGGTAGTACAGGACAGTCAACTTTGTAACTATATATATATATCCTACATACGTAGTATAATAACTTTTTCTTAACAAGATGCCAAAATGCAAGAATGAACAATACCATCTCAGCCCATACCAGTTCCCTTGAATAAGGTTCATCCTCCCATTTCTCAGAAAGCTCATAAGACAGGATCCTCAAGACCTTTGTGGCACTTATGTATATTATTTTTCACAGACTGAGCTTAGACAATTGAATATTAGCCTTTTGTGGTCTATAACTGTCCAGTAATTACTTTTAGATTGGGTTTCATGAGAGAGAGAAAAGGAAGCTGTCATGACTGGCTGTGAGTTTATAAGGACTGCAATGTTGCAGGGAAATTAAATTAAGAAACCTGTATTATTTATATTTTTTTCTACTGGGGGGGGGGGGGGGAGGGGAGAAAGGTGTTTGAGTTGTTCAGCAGAAAACCCAAGTTACTAAAAAAATGATTGAAATTAATCTTATTTTCAACTTTAAATGAACCAGGAACACAATTGTAAAATTTAAAGCTTGTATTTTTGTTGGACATTTTTGATTTAAATATAAACATTTTTATATGAGTTCACTGATAGAAAAATAATANCAGAATATTAGACCATCAAGGAATTAGTTGGCATTGCTTTTAAGTTGGTCTGCTTGGTTATTGGTTTTGATTCACTGTCGTCGACCAGCATTGTTTAGCCTTGATCCATCTTAGTTATTTTTGCCCCCTAACTCCCCTCCTCCCCCAGCATCATCCGCTGTCTGGTGCCTCTTTACTTTTCCAAATGTAAATTAGAGATTTTGCCGAAAGAAACAGCAAGCAAGACAACTCAAATCCCGTGAGCTGTCTGTTCAACAATCACTTAGAGGTCAATTTAATTTTCTCCTTGTTGTGTCCAGTATTAATTATTGTCCTGTGGGTGCTCTGTGTCTCGCCTCTTCCTGAGAGACCTAATTGATTTGGTCAAAATTGATTTTTCAAAATAATTCAATCAAAATGCCAACATAGTGTTAACATGGACAGTATATACCATTGTCCTAACACTCACCAATTTAGCCAAATTAATGCTAAAACTGACTAAAATTAGCCAAACAAAATAGGGTTGATTTGACTTGTTTTAGTCATATTTAATCTATTTGGAGAAAAAAGTGATAAAAAGTTGTGATTTGGCTAAGGGAAAAAATTGCCAGTTGCTACCCCAGGCTTGGTTTCACAGGTCACAAGTAACCTTAGACTGATAATAGAAGATTTTATCATAGACCTGTGTAATGTGATATCAATATGAACTTACATAAAGCAAAGAAACCTCATGGGTCAATCATGTATACTCAGACTTTTGATTATTCAGATTGGGTTTTATTTCTACCGAAATGTTAGTTCTGATGGCACTGACATAATCATATTGTTTTTATCTTTGGATAGGGTTTTATAGTCTTTGAGGTCTGAATTGGGAATATGTATCAGTAGCTTCCAACAATCTGTAGAGGTAGAAGATGCTACTGTGGGATATTTTCAAATGCAGATAGCAATTTACCTTTAATTTTACTTACATTTAGAGGCTGCATGTAGTGATTGAACACAACCTGTAGGTTTTATAATATTTACTCATAAGAGCAATTGGTTACTTCAAGAAGGTTCTAGTAAAAACAATTTATGCCATATGATTTTATTTTTAAAATTTTCTTTTCCAGCATGCAGATTCTGTGCTAAATGATTCATAAGTCATCTGTTTATTATGTGGTAATTTCATTATATAAAAAGCTTGTAACAGTTTATAATTTCATTGTACATTGAATAAAGAGCACTTAACAGGCCCTTGAGATATACTTACTAGTAACAAAAGTCTGTTCAACAAGGAAATAGAATTTTTTTTTAGAATTACAATATATATAAAATTGAAGGGCTTTTTGTTCACATCCTTTTCACATTAATGCTTACTAGTATTTTTTTATGAGTTCATTATTTGACTTATTTGGCTGATGTCATTCAGATATTAAAAGACTAGCATATGAGAAAGAAAGGATATGCTATTGTCTAAGGGTAGTACCCTTTTTCTCCTGTATGACATTATGGGGCCTGTTTTACTTATAAGTCTGAAAATTGCTTTAAAATTTAAGAGAAGAATTTCATTCTACTTCTATTCAAGATAAGTTTTACATCTGTTTTCTTAGAAAAAAATTGACCTAGCTGATATGTTTCAGTCCAATTTGTATTTAATTATTTAAATGACCCTAAAGCGTCCAATTTTGAAACTTGTTCGAGCATCTTGTCAAAGTGCCTGATTATATTAACCTTTCCATAGAGAGTCAATCAAAGGTAGCTCAACTATGGTGGCAGTGGGCGGGACAACAGATGGATTAGAATTGCACCCTGTGGTGACCTGATGACAATCAGATGTCCAGCCGAGAGGGATCATTTGGAGTTAGGTTCACCAGTACGTCGCCAAGTTGTCTAAAACATGCTCTTAATTTACACCGCGCATTTTATTTTAAGCAAGAACTGATTTAGAGACAACATGGGCCAGATACTTCATGTTCACCTAATTAGATAAATGAGTGAATGTCCTCAGTCCTAGAATCAAGAATATTAAAAAAATCAGTTTGGTGTTCAAATGATATAAATGTATATTTTTGATTAGTAGAAGATACTTAGTAAGTACATTTGTTTTTTTGCTCGACATACACGTCAGAATTTTTATCAATAATTCAGGCACTCCTAGCTTATAAGCCTACAGAAGCAAATCCCCGATACAAACATGGTTAAATCAACTCTGATCGAAGACATGGGCTTTTAATCACCTAGGCTAAAAGCTCCTGGTACCGGTTGTAGCTTTTGACATTTTCAGGAAACTCGCTGAATTCAATTTAGGAATTAGAACAGAAGTGTTTGCTTGGCGTGAGATAAAAATCACAGAATATATCACAGGTTACATTTCAGTGCAGTTGAAAGATGCTGTACTGAGTGGGACATCAATTTGGGACCGTAATTTTAAGGGTATACCCAGGACAAAGAATGCAAATTAAAAAAAAAAATTATAGATTTCAAGGAAGTGTTGAGTATGGTACATGTATTAGCATTATGGTTGCAAGAAGTGTGTGTGTGTGTGTGTGTGTGTGTGTGTGTGTGTGTGCGTGCATGTGTGTGTGTGTGTGTGTGTACTTGTCTGTTAGTGTGATGTAATCTTGCTCACATTCCATAATCCTCTTTATCTTTCCAGAAAACTTGTTAATGTTGTAATGCAAGATCAACATAATTATAATTTCTTCTGTTTGCCAGTATGAAATCTATA